ACTCGCAACCTTTGGGTTACAAGTCCGACTCTCTAACCATTAGGCCACGACTTCCCCCATTAGTCCATAATTAACACCACAGAAATGTGTTGATTCATGTGACATATGGACTTTACAGACTCGGAGTTAAATGAATTATTCATGGCAAACAGACTCTTTGAATGCTGATGCTGACAGCTATTTTCAGTCCAGGGTTCATGAGCGAACGAGCCGCTTCATCAGACAGATCTGTGTTTGTCAAACATATTTAGCTCTGTATACAGAGGAAGGAAGGAGGTCAGTTTCTAGACGCGACTCCTACCTGCAGCCGGAGAGAGAAGCGTGCGAGAGTGCAAAAACCAAATCTGCATGAATAAGTCATGAGGTGCTGGCGTCTACAGGGGAAACACCTTCTGAAATACCACCAGAAATAACAACACGCACCCCGAACCCTCATCTGTGCTGCTCACCCACACTACTAACACACTTCTGCTCCAGCCCACACTGAACTCCAGCAGCCAGAGTCTGTTTACCAAACACTGAAGTTCATTTATCCACTTGAGAAAGCTGAGGAGTGAAGGTTTGGCCAGTAAGTAGAACCAGTAAGTCCCTGCTGGACAATGTCATAGCTATACCACCTGACTGCAAAATGTATAATACAATTTATTTTTATTTAATATATTTATAAAATATTTCATTATATATGTTTTTTGTTTTTATTTTATTGTTTTGTTTGTTTGTTTTTTGTTTTGTTTTGTATTATTTGTTGTTTAAATTTATGTTGGCACTTGAAAGCTCATTACGTATTTTTAATTTAATTTAATTTAATTTAATTTAATTTAATTTAATTTAATTTTTATTTTATTTTATTTTATTTTAGCTAATTCCAATGTGTTCTCAGGTAACTTATGCTTGAATGCTCACAATTTAAAATTTTATTTTATTTTTATTTTATTTTAAGGCTTGCCTAGCTAATGCCCATGCGTGTTCTCAGGTAACATGCATGAATGCCGCACTGTGCAAGTTATATTTTGGTTGTGATCCAAAAGGAGAAATACTTCAACAAAACTGCCATCTCCTCCTCTTGAGTCAGAATAGTGAGTTGCAGTGGAGAACAGCTGCTGCTATACTCACTCTGATGATGCAAACACGATACAATTATATGCAAATAATGCAATGGGAAAAGAAACCGGCATAGACATTGGAAAGAAAATGCATTTAACATGCAAAAGATTTGATCTCTCAAAATAACAATATTTTAGCCTCACTGATTGGCTCTCATAAGCTCCTGTAACAGTGATGTCATATTTCCTCATCTCGGCCGGGCGTGTTGCCATGGGGACGGTGCAGTACCGCTTCACCAGTCCTCCAAATGCTCTAAGATTATCCCATCATCCCGTCTGGCGGGGGAATCCTGTTTACACTCTTCGGAGGGCCGGCGTCGATATTTGAACACATGCCATCTTCCTCATTCTGCTTCTTTGCAGACGTGCAGATACACAAAGGTGTGATGTTTCCACGCCTCCCACCTGCAGAGCGTTAAAATCCCCTGGAAGTGCTTCAGGAGGGGGTGGATGGAGGCCTTCCTGTTGTGTTTGAGCAGTGGGCGCTCTGTGAATGTCCTGTGCCGCTGGATTATGTTGCACTGAGGGCCGTGTAACATTAACAAATCAAACACAAGCTTCTGCTGAGTCTGTAATCATTGGACCTCATCTGCTCCATCCTGACAAACACCTTGTGGTCAAATCTTTGAGCCACAAACAGACCATGTGCACATGCATCATCCTATATCCAGTGAAGAACATCAGAGTCGTGTTGGGTCATAGATACTCTAACAGGCATCAGTGGTATCAAGAGAATAGTACTGCTACTTGTTTATGTAATGTATTATATATCTTGTTTGTACAATGTGCATGCATGCATTCCTTTCATTTCAAATTTAGTTAACCAAATGTTTTTACATTATTTTAATTTATGCATTTTTTTTAATTATAATTTGTTGTTTTGTATTATTTTTATTCTCAGGTAACTTATGCTTGAATGCTCATTATTATATTATATTTGATATTATATTTTTTGTTATTTTATTTTATTTTATAAGGCTGTTTGCAGAATATATTATTCATGCATTCTGTTCATTTTTATTTAATTTTAATTCATGCTAACAATATTTTTACATTTTCTGAAAAAAACATGAGTGGCGGCTGAAATTGCAACATGCTACACAGTGTTGCTGAGTGTTTGAATTCAGTTTAATTTTTTCTATTTTGAGTGTTTGTTTTATTTTTTGTTATGTTTATTTTATTTTTTGTTTTGTTTTAGTAATTTTGTTGTGTGTTTTTGTCATTTTTATATATTTTTTTAACATGTCTATACTGTTTTTATTCATTTGTATTTCAGTTTTAGTTTTATTTATTTTACTACATCAAGTTAGCGTATGAAAATCTTAATTTTCCTTTTTGCAACTAAATAAGAATTTCTAAAATTGACATAAAATTATTTTAAAAATATTTTATTATTATTATATTTTATTTTATATTTACATTAATATTTTATTAATATTTTATTATCTCAGTTAATTTTTGAGTAACCTGAAGCATGAGCCTCAGTAATTAGATCTAAATCATGAAGGCCTGTTTTGCTCACATTGATCAGGTGTTTTGTATCTGTTTCTGTATGTCTATGAAGCATGTGTTTGGGTGAACACCTGTCCTCGTCTCTTTTGTAACCCTGTCACTAAGTTACAGTGTGAGTGTGTGTGAGTGTTACACAAATGCAGCCGCTGACGGGTTAACTGTGTCTCTGTCACTGCATTAATTTTTAAAAACTGTGGGCATCTATATGTCAGCTCCTCTTACTGTCAGCAGGATATCGAGCGGCCAGGGTTGAAGTCTCAGCGCTAGATGATAGTTACAGAGGAACAATAAAGGGTGAGAGGACGACACGCACTTTCATTCCCCGAGTCACAGACACTATTAGCTGAAATATTCAGTTTAAATAAGAGTTCATGCATTTTTGTCATCATTAACTCACTCAAATACAGCGCAGCTTTATTTTTTAAGGGTGCTTGAATGGAATGCCTGAATCCCATCTGATTTTATTTGAGAAATTCCTTTAAAAGGATATGAATATTCTGTAATTTACTCACCCTTGTGTTGTTTCAAACCTGTATGAGTTTCTTCTTCTGTTGAACACAAAAGAAGATGTTTTAAAGAATGCTGCTAACCAAACAGTTGACGGTAGCCATTGACTTATAGTATTTTTTTTCTACTGTAAAAAATGACTGTGAATTTAACGGTAAAAGACTGTAAAAATGCTACAGTAAAAACCTGTTAAATGGTTAACGGTAAATTCCCCTACTATATACGGTGAAAAACTGTATTGGACATTACATGTATTGGACATAAATTTTACGGTAGTATACCGTTTTTGGAAGTGAAATTGACATTCCCAGAATTCCCTGCATTACATTTCAAATTTGATGTTTTTTGTTGAAATAACTGTTTCTTATTTTTTTCTTATCAGTTTTGTATATTAGGGTTGTGTGTTACACCTAATGTTGTTAAATGAATGTTTATTGCATGATTTCGGTTTCATGTGTGTTACCGTGATGGTGTTTAGTGTTTGTGTGAATGACACTTGAACATTCTAAAATTAGCTGAGTGTTCTTAGAACATATTTTTGTTGGCTGGGAGTCAGTCTAGTGTCTGCAGTAAACTGGATGCTGATTAAAAGGTCATGTGTAGGTTATTAAATATCAGCTGTCTCACCAGGAACATATTCACCATAAACGTCCTCCCTTGAAGTAATGAAACAGCCTGTTTTTCTCCAGATGATGTGAAAATATGTTCTAAGAACATTGTGCTAACGTTCAGATTAACATTTTGAACGTTGATAGCTCTGCATTTGTATATCTTAAGAATACTTAGTTATGCAATTATATGTCTTAATAAAGGATATCATGCATGTCTCTTCAGGTTTAAATAATAATTTCTAAGCCGCAATAATCATGCAACCATTTTTGTCTCTGATCTAAGATTCTAGGCTCATTTGCATATCATAAGCTGATTAAAAGGCTAAATAAATAAAACATTATTATAAGTAAATAAAAAAGTAGGTGTGCACTGACGTCATCTCTCCTGATCTTTAATATCATTTTCTTCTGTTGCATGGTGGTATTTTGCCGTCTGTTTGGTGCAAGGCTCTCTCCTCAGAGCATTTCTAATACTTAAAGATGCTTCTAAACTCAGCATTTCTTTCTGTTGCCTGTTCAGTTTTTCCTCCAGTTTCACGCCTCTAATGAAGAGAGCAACAGCAGATGAGTGTCAGAAATCACTGCGGCTCAATGAGGTCAAGTCAGAGGTCTTTAGGTTTTATAGAAACTGTTATGTCAAAAGATCAAGGCTTATTCATATTCAGTTTAATACTGCACTTTCTGCCATGTATTTTTAGTTTTTCTAAGTGAAATCCGTGCAATTTAGTGCAAATCAACCTTTTTGCTCCAGGTTTCTGGCCTTCAGTCTTGTTTCTTCTAAGCGCACAGAACATTGACTCTATTTATAATCTTACAAATTTGATAGTGCCCCAACACATTGCCCACCAAGAAGAAGTGTTATCAGATTTTCACCGTATTAGTTTCAACAAAATGTTTTGTCAGACATAGATAGATAGATAGATAGATGTTTAAGTTTTAAAATATTTCATGGCAAATGCTTTGGCGGGAACCTCCACCCCAGCCCGCTCTGGAACAATGGCATGCCCCCCTAAACCATTTCCGGCAGCCCCTCCCTTTGCGCTCGCTGTTGTCCTAGTGGCATATTTCCAAATCTTACTATGGCCAAGGCTGAGCTCATGAATATTAATTAGCTAACGTGCAAGACGCTTGCTTGCCAACGTCCCATGAGAATAGCGCTAGAGCCCGAATATCGCGGTACGTAATTAATATTCATGAGCCCCGCCGTCGCCGTAGTAGGATTATTAAAAGCGCGATCTGTTTTACGTGGTGACGCCAGATGTATATGAGCGCACGCGGCGGGATCTCTTTCCCTTTTAGCGCCATCAGAGAGCGGGAGTCTCGCGCTGTTCACTGCGCAGCAGCACCGCCTCAGACAGACCTCTGCACATCAGGCTCTCGGTAAGAGACCATACCGCCGAGGGACTGTTTATAAACCTCTTTCTGTTCATTCAAGAAGATAAATTAGTACCCGAGTCGAGATTTAACACGAATGGAGATGTTTACGTTAGCTCGAGCTAAGCGCTCAGTCCGTCAGTCAGCAGCCATTGAGACGGACTCCTCCATGATGGAGATGAAAATGGCTGTTCGTCTTTTAAATATCGAATAAATGCAGGTTTAGCCGTTAAACGGACAAACCAAACGGGGGTTTTAATGTTTAAAGGTTTGTTTGTTCGGTTACAGTAGTTGGAAATGTTGTCTTGAGCGTATTTTCTCATGTTGGGAGGAGGAGGAGGATGATAGTTGGTCTGATCTGGCGGGTAAGTTTTTTTTTTTTTTTTTGGGGGGGTCTGATCACGGTGTCGGAAAAATGATAAAATCCGGTTTATTTAACTAATCTATTTTTAATGAGAGTTGGATGTGGAGATGTAACTATGGCACATGTTCGAGCATGATTAGGATGAAGTGATCTGATGTCTGTAGTTAAGGTTAACCCATGCTAGTTTAAATTCTGACGGTTTTCTAATAAGCTTCAAGCTGTAGCGCTTTGGTAAGTTAGTGTTGCCAGTCTTCTCTAGTTGAGATGCGTTGGTTATAAGGATGCTGTGCTGCTAGCAGCTTTAGCCGGTGGGTCTGTGGAGGGAACACGTGGTGATGTGGCCTGGTGGGAATTGACCATCGCAATCAAATCCAAGACCATTAACCCAGTTTAAGAGTTAAACAGCTGTTTTAGATGGTAGCTTCAGGAATGCCTGGACCGAGTTGGTTAGTTTGTTTAATTCTTCACATCTGTATGAAATGTGGCTGGTGGTGGGTTGCCAGAGGCTCTTAATGAATAGAATAATGCTGTGTAAGTGAAGTCAGTCAATATTACCATATTTCATATTCTATTTGTTATTGTATGTTTCTGACTGCCTTATTTTTGTGAGTCTTGTTACTATTAAGGTTTTTTTTTTTTTAAGATGGGGTGATTTTTGCATTAGAGTTTGATCAATATTAATTATAATTTATTAATACAATTGTGTAAAATAGTTATGTAAATAATAAACACAATCTATGTTATCTATCTATTAAAATAAAATATATAAATTAATTTGTATCCGATAACACAATAATAATTATTATTATTATTTGATTAGTAATACATTTTAGTAATTTTAGGAGATTTTTTTCCCCTCTTCCAGTCATTTCTGTGTTGGAAAGGCATAGTTAAAACATTGTGTTTTATCATAGATATATTGTTATTTTCCCCAGGGCTGATATTGGGAATGACTGGTTAAGTAGAAAAATGTAAATATCTGAAAAATATCAGCCTAAAGATTTTGTCAATCTCTAGTTTGGTTGAATGCATTTTATTTCCTCCTGCTTCCTTTTAAGATTGTGCATGAATTAGTGACAAGATGGACTTTTTACGGTCCTGAAAAACCTGTGAAGTTGTGGTTTTTAGGTGTGGGAAGAGTCATGTAAATCTAGTCTACATTGTAGACCTGAAATTGCTACTGAGTGCAATCTAAGTCACGACTGACTGGCATGAATCATGGCGGAGTCTTGGAAATGTGTTGGTCATAAGGTTTGGAAGCCTAAAGAGGTTTTAACAAGCGTGTTGAACCTTTGCTCCCAAGGCGGCTAGATTTTGTAAGGTTTAAAGGCTTGCCGTCGGCTTTCAGTGCTGAAGAATGGTTATCAGAGTCTGGAGGAAATGTGCCAGGAACTTTGTCCCGGTATTGTGACGTCTTGTTGTGAAATAAGGTGATCCGTTGCGGCCATGCTTTGGGAAACTCTCTTATGTGCCTGTATTGACAGGTTTCAGCTGTCTGATCTTGACGCAGACAGTAAGAGGAAGAGATTAATCTTCAAATCTGTCAAGAATGGATGCTGCCAGGGTGGTGTCGGGTCTTCATGTTATTGATCTTCTACAGGAGAAGAGCAGAGTAGGCTGAGAATATTCTGTCTGCATCAATCAGCTCGTGAATGAATGAAGTAGCTCGCTCTTGCCGCTGGAGGTCTGGATGTAGGCGTCTGAGCCCGTGTTTGATCCGACTGTGCGTTGGAGTTGGCTCGTATGCAGTTCGGGCCCTGACAAATGGATCCAGTCAGATTCAGAGCTGAAGATAGTGGTTCACACCTTTGATGTTTATAGCTGATCTATCCCATAAACCCCCAGGGGTTGAATCTCTACCACTGAAGTTTTCTATCACGAGGATGGCAGCGTGCATGCGTTTGCACCACCATTGGACATTTTGACACATCTGGATGCTTCCGTTATGCGTCTAAATAGATAAACTTGTGCATATTGGCTGCCTGAAGCCCCGTTCACACTGCCAGCGACAAAGCGACATGCTCCCATTAATTTTCAATGGAGAGCTGGCGACACGAGCGACAGAATGTGGGCGTGTCAAGGGATGCGAGTCAAGCGACAAAAGTTAAGAATTGTTTAACTTTATGCAAATTAACAGCGAATTTCGCGAGCGACAACCAATAGGTGTAAAGAATCTGTCAGTGGCGCTCACACGTCACCGTCTCGAGTGCAGGCAAGACAGGACAGATTTCCTGATGCGTAGAAAAGAAACCGTTGGCTGTAGGGATGTAACGGCTAGATTTTGTAAGGTTTAAAGGCTTGCCGTCGGCTTTCAGTGCTGAAGAATGGTTATCAGAGTCTGGAGGAAATGTGCCAGGAACTTTGTCCCGGTATTGTGAAGTCTTGTTGTGAAATAAGGTGATCCGTTGCGGCCATGGTTTGGGAAACTCTCTTATGTGCCTGTATTGACAGGTTTCAGCTGTCTGATCTTGACGCAGACAGTAAGAGGAAGAGATTAATCTTCAAATCTGTCAAGAATGGATGCTGCCAGGGTGGTGTCGGGTCTTCATGTTATTGATCTTCTACAGGAGAAGAGCAGAGTAGGCTGAGAATATTCTGTCTGCATCAATCAGCTCGTGAATGAATGAAGTAGCTCGCTCTTGCCGCTGGAGGTCTGGATGTAGGCGTCTGAGCCCGTGTTTGATCCGACTGTGCGTTGGAGTTGGCTCGTATGCAGTTCGGGCCCTGACAAATGGATCCAGTCAGATTCAGAGCTGAAGATAGTGGTTCACACCTTTGATGTTTATAGCTGATCTATCCCATAAACCCCCAGGGGTTGAATCTCTACCACTGAAGTTTTCTATCACGAGGATGGCAGCGTGCATGCGTTTGCACCACCATTGGACATTTTGACACATCTGGATGCTTCCGTTATGCGTCTAAATAGATAAACTTGTGCATATTGGCTGCCTGAAGCCCCGTTCACACTGCCAGCGACAAAGCGACATGCTCCCATTAATTTTCAATGGAGAGCTGGCGACACGAGCGACAGAATGTGGGCGTGTCAAGGGATGCGAGTCAAGCGACAAAAGTTAAGAATTGTTTAACTTTATGCAAATTAACAGCGAATTTCGCGAGCGACAACCAATAGGTGTAAAGAATCTGTCAGTGGCGCTCACACGTCACCGTCTCGAGTGCAGGCAAGACAGGACAGATTTCCTGATGCGTAGAAAAGAAACCGTTGGCTGTAGGGATGTAACGATTAACTGCGAGCCGGTTGGAAAAACGATTCAAATATGTGACTATTCAAATCGGTTGAGATGCTAAACAAATCACGATTCAATTAGGTGTAGGAGTTTATATGAATGCATGTCTGAGGAGAACTTACTGTCTTTAGAAAAGTTTAGATGGCATTTTTTTTCTTTTCATCTTGCCTCTGTATAATGCATATTAAAGTTCATAAGTGCAGCGCTGCTTTGTTTACAGCGGAAACCAGGAAACGCTTTAAGTGCCACCTGCTGGCAGAGAGTGAATCTGCATCTCGTTCAGCTCGTCTGCTGTTTCATGCAGATATTTTTATTTATAGTTTCACAAAACTGAAGTCAAACCATTCTGTTTTTGCTTCAGATTTCGAAATTATACAATCTAATTTAGATTAAAAACTGCTCATGTTGCATGTATGCAGCATCTTTGTTTGGATCATGATTAAAATGCAGGGGTTGTCTCTAATTTTAAATGGAAAGAGCACAGACAAAGCCTTATTTTGTTTATATGAAGAAATTTCTTTTATTTGTGGGCTTCTTTTAAAATTTCAATGTAGTTTTATTTACATTTACATTATATTTAAATTGTCATTTAGCAGACGCTTTTGTCCAAAGCGACTTACAAATGAGGACAATAGAAGCAATCAAAACCAACAAAAGAGCAGTGATATGCAAGTGCTATATTAGTATATTATTATTATAGTGTTATTTTTCAATTTCACAAAGAAATGTGCAGCATTTTGTCCAAGCAATAATAAAAAGACACATTTAATTTATAATTTGTCTTTAATCTCATTTTGTTAAAAAAAAGAAATTATAATCATGAATCGAATCGTGAGTTGAGTGATTTTATCTTGAGGCTGTTGAACATAATGGACCGCATTAACATTTTCCTTTGTTTTTTTCCTCTAGGAAACAAAACGGTGAAACAACATGGCAGATCTTGACAAGTAAGTGCTTGTTTGCCTATTAAAGAACTTTTATTTCTCACTCTGTCATCTCATTTCCCAGTTTGACAGCTTATTGTATTGACAGCCCTTTTTATTCCCAGCTTAAATCGCTTTATGCCTGTTGTCTGTGTGGGAAATGGTGCCTAAACACCCCTCTTGGCTGATTTGATTAGCCCTTACATGACCAAAGAGCGCATCTAAACACCCCATCCAGTCCTAACTAGGGATGCACCGAAAGTTCGGCAGCCGAAATAACTCGGCTGAATAAGTGAAAAAAAGACCAAATAAATTGTACCGAACAAAGACGTGACGCGATCAAATAGAGGCGCACGCTAATGCAGCAAACATGACAGCAGTGTGGAAACATTTAAAGCTGTCTGAGAAAGATGCAAAAATCATTACAAGCACGACAGCGAGAGACTGATTAGTACTGCATTGCATGTCTTCGATGAGAAGAGGAAGGGTGGTTGTTGCTGGTTGCTGTATGATGATTAAAATCGCGAAATGCCATTTAAACAATTAAACTGCAGATTATGTTTTCTAATACACGCAGGAATTGCACGTATTCAAACAGCGATGCACGAGCTCGCGACGACAGGGTTCAAAGTCCAAAGCGCGAGGGAAATCTGCGCTGAAACTGTTACTCGTCAGCTGCTCAGTAACATTTTTATGAATTTTTACAAGGCACGTGACAATGCGATATACGTGCAACAAACGTCTTCCCAAATTCGTAATGAGAATCATTTGTCAACAAAAAGAAGCACTGAGGTCTTCCTGCGGGTTTCTGCCTAAATAAAAGTTGAGAAAAAGCAAGAACTTCATCAACATTAATAAATGTTATTGTAATTTTACTGTTGTTCTGTAAAATAAAATAAAAAAAATATTGAAAAACCGTGTTTGGTATTCGGCCTTCTGACCAGTGTTTCATTTTGTTCGGCTTCGGCCAAGAATTTTCATTTCGGTGCATTCCTAGTCCTAACCTCTTTCCTGCCTGTTGGAGACTGTCTAGGGCCAGCAACACATCGTCTGCATGCTTTCAAGCTTTGTGTGGTACTCCAAGCGTCTATGCTATGCCAAACACGTGTTTGCAACTCAACAAACTGGGGTTCACTCACTCGACACTTGTGACACGAGCAATACACCTGTTGCTCACCACAGGAACTTCCTGTGTGCTGTAGATGTGGTGCTATTTCACACGCACCTGCATTTTTATTTCAGCCAAGATATAACAATTGGATATGCTCAATGCTTCAGATCCTGCTGAAGATAAAGGTTTAAATGCAAGATGATAAACATACTCTAAGAGGAAATGTTGTTTTCTATGCCGAGCTCTTATCTTCAAGTAGGAAATGCTGATTGCTCATGATATGACCTCGTAGTCACTTTAGCTCTCTCAGGTCTCTTAGTCACATTAACATTGATAGAACGGAAACGTAAGACCCACAAGGCTAGTTTGGTAAATGTTTAATCCCTGATTGTGTGTGTTCTTACAGTAAAGACCAGACTGAAATGGACCCAGCAGATATGGAGGATGTTGAAGAGGTGGAGGAAGAGGAAACTGGGGAAGACAACAGTAAAGGTATGACCTTTGACTATTTCATACATTTTTTCCCCCCTTTTCATTTCCTGTGTGAACAAGAGGTTGACCAGTAGTTGGTTTTGCTGATACTAAAATCGGAAAATATGGCCGATAACTAGCAAATCGCCGTAGTATGAATGAAAACCTTCCACTTAATGTAAAATAGTACTGAACTTTTACAAAATTAACAGTAATGACTTAACCGTGAGAATATTTTGTAGTTAAAATAAATTAAAATACAAACATTAGCTAAGCTTCAACACCATTTATAATTTTTTTTTTTTCTTTGGTTAGGTGTACAAGAAATGGTAAGGGAAAAATGGGACAATCAACTCCCCGTCTCTTGTTAAGAATGTCTGCTGTGCTCACGTTCTTGATGTGTATATATTTTAGTTAGCTTGTTTCTTTTGCACAACTACTTCATAGAGATTATTTGTAGGAACACAGAAACATTTGGAAAACTATAAAACAAAGTATCCTTCATTGGCGGTGCATTGCGTATCGCTGAGTAATGGAAAAACTATTGCTGTTGGTTTTTACGATAAGTGACTATTTGTGCTGATTAATTGGCAATAATGACCTCTTGTGTAAACCACCAATTATTGCTCCTATTCGAGAGGACTGGTTGATCAGTCAACTTTTGCTATTTGCATTGCAAATCATCACAACCAGACCAGGTTTGTGTCATAAGTTGCAGTGACTTCTGATACTTGAAACTATACAGCTTAATTGAAAACATTGATAAAACCGCAGTGTTTGATCACCTAATATGTCAAAATGCCAAGTAGGTACACATGGAGCAACAGCTCGAATGCAAATTTCTTTCAGGAAGTTTCTAGAGACGATCCGATTGGCTAAAATAAATCCGATTTCCCATCACTTCCTCCATAGTGTGTTTTTATCGTCTAGAGCGGGGATCCTCAAATCTGGCCCACAAGATCCACTTTCCTGCAGAGATTAGCTCTAACCCTAATAAAACACACCTGAGCATGCTAATCAATGTCTTCAGGATCATTAGAAAATCACAGGTAGGTGAGTTTGATCAGGGTTGGAGCTGAATTCTGCAGTGCATTGGCCCTCCAGGGCAAGATTTGAGAAACCCTGGTTTAGAGTCTCTTTGCTCTGGTTTTCTTTGCTAGGCCGCTGTGGAGGAAAAGTAAATGCTGTCTGTCATTATTGCTGAGACATGCTGACAGTCATTAGGAAAAGGCCATGCACACGTTTGCACTGGCTTTTTTCGTGTTGGGTAACATGATATCAGTCCGTAATCTCAGTGACCTAAGCTGTGTTTAGCAATTGGACCGAACCATTGCAAAACCATGAGTATTAGAGGGTTTGATACTAAATAATACATGCATTGGATGCGCTCACTCATTAACGATAGCTTCAGTCCCGCTGACCTTGTCTCTGTTTGCTACCGTGTATCTTTGGGATGAAAAGAGCATCTTTTTTTTTTTTACCCTTGGTGAAAGTGCCCTAGATATGAGAGACGTATTACAGGGTTGTGGAAGTTTTTTTAAAAATAGATTTAATACTACTTTATAATTTGTATTATTATTAGTTTATTTTTTTATTTCTTTGGATTATTACTTTTTATTTAATTCTTTTAAGATTTATTTTCAGTTTTCTTTTTTTATTTATTTTATTACTTGGCACCTCATTTTCTTTTTCTTTTTTGTTGTTACATTGGATATTTATTTTTCAAATACACTATTTTAAGGGGTCCTTGTTACAGTGCTTTTTTTTTTACATTAAAAAGTACTGAGTAATATTAATTAACTACATGTACTTACTATATGGTTAGGGTTACTTGCATGTAATCATGCATAATTTATTGTTATTATAACAGTAAGTACATGTAACGTGTAACAAGGACACCTTAAAGTGTTAACGATTTTTCTTATAATTTTGTATGCGAGTTGTCAATATTGTATGTAAACATGATTCACTTTCAATTTAAGGTATACTTTACTGGCATGATTAAGTTATTAATTGGGTAATAAAAATGTCAGTCTCTGCCCTTTGTTATTCTTTGGTGCTTCTGTGATGCTGAGTGTGATTTTTGTAATGGCTTCCTTCTGTGAGCGTCAGTTGATGGTTGTTCGCTCTGATTTTAGCACGTCAGCTGACGATGCAGATGATGCAGAACCCTCAGATTCTTGCGGCGCTGCAGGAGAGGTTGGATGGGCTCGTGGGATCTCCCTCAGGGTACATGGAGAGGTACGTGCCCACACAGAGCACAACTTCAAATAGCTCCCTTGTTTCCCATTGGCTGCATCTAATTTCCCTACTTTGCCAACACCGACTGAATTAAATATTTCTTATTTTGGCCCGATCCTGTTCCCTGATTCCTTTCTGGAAGGTGCCAACCAAATGTCAAGCATCTTTTTACTCATCCATACAAAACGATGATCCTGAGTCATTCATGAATCATCAGCAGTGTGTGATTTGCACCGTGTCACGTTGTGTGTGGTGTCTGCGCAGCTTACCAAAGGTGGTGAAGAGACGCGTCAATGCCCTTAAGAACCTCCAGGTCAAATGCGCTCACATCGAAGCAAAATTCTATGAAGAAGTGCACGAACTGGAGCGAAAATACGCTGCTTTGTATCAGCCCCTCTTCGACAAGGTGAGATTTAAAAACCGATGCATTTCTGTTGCCCATCTTTCCTCCAAAATGGAAAAACTGTGGGTTTGTTCTTGGAAGAGGTGCGGTTTAAGATGTTGTGTGCCAGAAGGCGGGTGGTACAGTACGTTAAAATGGTTACATTGACCCGCTGCTTCAGCGTTTCTAACTGCAGCAAACACCAAGTGGTCAATCAAGGACGCTAGAGACAAACAGCAGCCAGAGAGATGTCTTACAGAAAATAAAACCTGAGCTGTAGCTGTTTATCCTCTCTTGTAGCTCTCGATCACGCTCCCAGTGGAATAGTGATGTCCGAGAGGCTCAATTAAACTTAAAACAAGTTTACTGGCTTTAAGTCTTACAGTACAAGTGTATTTTTGTGTCAGCATAAAGTCTAGTTCATGTGGCGGTTTATTCTGGCCAAGAACCATACATGCATACATACACACTCACTTGGTTCTTGGCCAGAATAAACCGCCTCGTCAATTTTTTATATATATATTAATTTATTATTACTGCTGTTGTTGTATTTTTAGTAATGGTTGTTTTGCTGTTTATTTATAGTTCATATTTATTTAATTGTTTATTTATTAAATTTGAATTAATGTTTATGAAGGGCCGGTAATAGTTTGAGTTTATTTTTAAGCTCTGCTTGGACGTAAAGATTCAGCTGATTTACAGCGACGTCGGTTTATTTATTTTGAGTAGTTGATTTAAATATTTTAATTCACTATTTAAATAGTTTAGTTTTAACTTCTAGAAATGCCTCAAATTAATGTTTAAAAACTGTCTTTAGCGGAGTGATATCGTGAAGGCAGCATACGAACCCACAGATGAGGAGTGTGAGTGGAAACCAGATGAAGAGGAAGAGCTGACAGTAAGTAAGCAGGTACAGGTGATCCATACCTGCATGCTCTTCAAATACCACCGCATTTACATAATACTGTATAATATGCTGTGTTCAGTCATAGCTTGACTCTATATATTGGCCTTTGTCTTCATCAGGAGGAAATGAAGGAAAAGGCCAAAGTGGAGGAAGAGAAGAAAGACGAGGAGAAGGAAGACCCTAAAGGAATCCCAGAATTCTGGCTCACAGTTTTCAAGAACGTCGACCTTCTCAGCGAAATGTTGCAGGTAGGGAGAGAACGAGCAAGCGCTTGCACACAAGGGAGCGATTGTGAGTGTAGTAGTGTTCAAAAGCAGGTCATGCATCATGGGCATTTACAGTGGGAGATTTCTCTTTGGAAAATGTCCTTGCTGCCATCTTGTGGTGTAAAAGTGCACCTTGCATCCTTTTTAGCTGAAGATAAAGGCATAGTGAAGCTATATGCATCTAACTTAAATGAACTGTGTTCGGTTTCACTCAGAATTTATTGTATAATTTAATTTGGGCTGGTTATGTCACTTACATTTTTGTTAAATATAATTTTCTTTAGAACCGTTGTGTCCAAACTTTAATACAAATTGTCATATATCAAACTTGATTAAAGGCGGCGTACAGGGCTCTAGAGTGCGTTTGCGACTGAGAACTACTGCGTGCGACTATGAAAAAAATATTTAGGAGTACCAGTGCGACTGACCAGATCATCATCATATTTGGGATTGCGCTGAGCGGAGCTTCAAGGGTTTCTACGTGTTTTTGCAGCGTTGAGTAATGTATCAGACATCTCACGAATCCTTTCATAGCCCAAGCAAAATGTAGACAGGGTGTAAATAAGAGATTCATTGTGCAGAGTAGAGAGCTTCGTTGATTATAAATGTGAGATCGCAATGATCTAAGAGTGACAGTTTTTAATGATTTTTAAGGAAATTTGTAATTGTGATACTGATTTAATACAACAGTTCAATAAACAAGAAGTTAATATTAAGTGACTTGCATTGGCTGACTATAACACTATTGTCTGATTTTGCTCTATTTCGTCTTCGAAAATAGTTTGAAATAGTCACAGCACAGCCGCTGCGCATCTCCATTCAAACACAGCGGTGTCTCGTTTATGAATGAACTGCGTTTTTAAACTAATCTAGTGATTCAGTCTTTATGAATGGGTAATCATGAATCACTGTCACTTGCTTCATTCCTGATCAATTGAATGAATGATTCAGTGATAAAATCAGTGACTTGCCGCCACCTGCTGGCAGTTCATTTTTAAAGTATCTTTTCAGTTATTTAAATCACTTGATATTTCTATATTCAAAGTTTTATATCTAAAACATTAATCTTAACATGAATTTATGGATTTAATTGTACTTGTGCCACCTCTGAATTTTTAAAACGCTTCTAAAATATAATTTAAAAAACATTTGACATAAGATTACATGCTTTTAATAAAGTTAGAAAAATGCCATTACAAAGGTAAAAACAAAATTCCACTGTAAATAACTGAGTCAAATATCACCTCGTAATGGGAAGGCTATTTTTTTTAAATCAAATTTTGGATTATTGATTAGGAGGTGCTCCTGAATTTGACAAGTGCTCCTAAAAAGAAAAGTAGTTAATCTTGCTTTCATTTGATTAGTAATTTATTCTACTTGTTGTTATTCTGTGGTTTTAATTAGAATTTTTAAAAAGCTTCTAAAATATAATTAAAAAAACATTTGACATAAGATTACATGCTTTTAATAAAGTTAGAAAAATGCCATTGCTCTCCCCTCCCTGCTCTTGTAACATCAAAGGTTATTGGACATGTGCTTTAGAATGTGTTTTTATTAAAGAAAATGTATGGAATTGATTTTGCTATTTAGAAGAGTTTCATTTATTTTGCTTTTCCTGTCCAGGAACATGATGAACCAATCCTTAAGCACTTACAAGACATTAAAGTTAAATTCTCAGATGCAGGCCAACCAATGGTGAGTCTGACCGTCTCTTCGTCTCCTGTCTGATTTCTTAATCTCACAGTTTACTCACAGTTTGGTCTCTTTTCAGAGTTTCACATTAGAGTTCTACTTTGAACCCAACGATTTCTTCGCAAACACAGTCCTGACAAAGACCTACAAAATGAGGTCTGAGCCAGACGAGTCGGATCCCTTCTCTTTCGACGGGCCTGAGATCATGGGCTGCACAGGGTATGGCTCAACCTCTGACTTTCACTCTGTTAGCTTTGACAACATTAGTTACATCAGAGACTGACTCTGTTTTCAGGTGCACGGTCGACTGGATTAAGGGCAAGAACGTCACATTGAAAACCATTAAGAAGAAACAGAAACATAAGGGACGTGGCACTGTGAGGACGGTCACCAAGACAGTCCCCAATGATTCGTTCTTCAATTTCTTCTCTCCGCCTGAAGGTAAAAAACCCCCTCAAAACTACCACATCCCTGATTATCCATGTGTTAGTTTGTTGACTTCTTTATAATATTTTAGTAGAATAGCATTTGCTGATAATAAACTTTCTCTTCTTTACAGTTCCAGAAAGCGGTGAACTGGTGAGTAACTGATTTTATTCCTAGCCATGAACTTCATGAACATTTTGTCACTTTTTTTCTAAATTTAGGTGGACTATACTCTTTTTATCATAAACGGACAACAGTTTTATTCAGATGTTTAACTGATGTATTTAAAGCATCACCTTTTTAGATCTTAGCCTTATATAGCTTCTTGGTAATTGTATGACTTTTATGTACTCTGTTTTCGCCATGAAGATAGCTTTGATGCTGATATGGCATTAACAAAATAAATGCGTATTTAAATTTCGATATGCATGACCAGGGCCTAAAACTAACATTTTGCCACATCTTTGTGGCAAATTGCACAAAAACAAGGGCAATTGACTTGAGAGAATTTGCTGGACATTAAACTATTATTTCATTAAAAAAAGTGCAAAACAAATTTAGGGAAATGTCTGATTGCTGCTCTATTATGCTATTATTATTATTTTATATTTTGTTTAATCACAACTTTTATCAAAGAAATAACACTATAAAACTTGAACTATTATTTCTGATTGATTTAAATTGATATAATACTTATTATTATTATTATTATTATTATTATATATATATATATATATAAAATTTTTTTTATGACTTTCAAACATTAAACCATAGAGCTCTTATTTTGGCTCAAAATCGCAGGGCAACTTCTATTGAACTGCTTCTCTTTTGTTGACAACATTTATAAACGCTTATTACAAGTTTGGGAAGAAGTTTGGCTCAAGTTGCATTTTCAAATCCATGTTATAAGCAACTCAAACTCAAATATGTGTACGTTACGACGCAGTCTTTGCGGTTTGATAATCACGCTAAACTTGCATTCTCAGGGATTGCTAGAATTATTAAAAGAAGTTACCAGCCATCTGCTGAGTTTCATACACTTGCTGTTTTTTTTCCTCTTATTTGGTGCTTGGTGAGTGTTAATTCTAGGCCCTGTGGCATGACTGGTTTATCAGATTGGTGAATGTTAATTTGGCTGGTAATCATGAAGTCTCACTGTTATGATGAATGAGTGAGGTTTGTTTTTGCCGTGTGTTCAGGACGAGGACTCTGAGGCCGTGTTAGCAGCAGACTTTGAGATCGGTCACTTCATCCGCGAGCGGATCGTGCCCAGGGCAGTGCTATACTTCACCGGCGAGGCCATCGAAGATGATGACGATGACGTGAGTGAACGGCAGCCATCCTCTGTCATGAAGTCAAACGATGCTTTATTTCCAAACGTCTGACCTCTGTGTTTCTGTTGTGCTTTTTTTAGTATGACGAGGAGGGAGAGGAAGCCGATGATGAGGTTAGTTGTCTTCTGCTTGTCTGTTTTTATCAGCGTTATTCCTCTGGATGCGTGTAAACTGATGTGTTTGTAACTTGCAGGAGGGTGAAGAGGAGGCCGACGAGGAGAACGATCCAGACTATGAGCCCAAGGTAAGAGTCCAGACGTCCATCGATGTTCCTCACGGCAGGCCGATACTGAGATCTCAACATACAGAATACATACTGTCACCTCCACTCATGCATCTCTGCCTCTCTCGCCCTCAAACGCTGATTCTCCTGCCAAAAAAAACAGTTCTTCACGATTTATTAACTTCAGCTTTATTTACTGTCATCTTTGGTCCATTCGAGAGAGAAATCCAAATGAGAACAGATAATTTTTTGACGAGTAGATAAATGGCCGCAGTGTTTGCAGCATCTCTGTGAACGTCTGACCTTTAACCCCGATTTATAAATACTACACTGCAGTTCTGTGGGTATTTTTTGTTTCTCTGCTCTAAAATTCTTAGTAGCACATCTAAAGCAACAGCATTGAATATACGCTGCCCTACAGAGGTCAATTTAATGGTCAGTTTTCACCCTCCTGTTCCCATTTTTCTCTGAATCTGAGCATAGATGAGTAATGCAGCAGTGCTTTCTCCAAGGGGTCAAAGTTCAGGGTGGGAATGTTAATGGATATTCCTCCATTATTACTGACCTCATTTATTTGTAGGGCTGCATGATTTGGGGACAAAAATCTAATTGAAATTAAAAAAAATAAAAAAATTCTGATGGCCGTGATTGAGAGGTTTGCTGTACCTGCTTGTTGGGTTGCACCCTTTTTAAAAAAATTTTTTTTTTTACTATCAATATGGCTATGTTGTTGTTATAATAATAATAATAATAATAATAATAATATTAAATAATCAAACAAAATATTACTTGAAATATTTCACTGTTAAGTTAACTTTCAGAAATAGTTTTTCTAATGCTCAATTTGTTTAATTTTACAGTGAGATTATAATGTATTTATTTATATTTTTAATTTTAAAATTACTAAAGTATTGCTATTATAGTATTTCACTTAAGTTTAAATGGGAAATTATTATTTTCATCATTATTATTGTATATTAAATGCTAAATTTGTTTAATTTTAAAGAAATTATATTAGTAATATTTTGTTTTTGTATTTTTGTTAATATATAAATCCATTTTTAATTTTACAGTGAAATTACAATAGGATTACTTTGTTCATTTAATTTTTATTTTTAATAAAGTAAATGTAAAACTAAATGAACATCGTATTAGTATTGTAATTTAACTGTAAATTTAAATAGAGTATTTAAGAAATAAAGAAATATAATATTTTTAAACCATAAAGCTACAGTGCTAATATTTATGGCGGTCTTAATTTCTTTGTTTTTAACACGGCACTCTGGAAAAAGTACATTTAATCTCTTCGCATATTGCAATTTCGGTTTTAGTTCAGTTCATCGTGCAGCTCTACCTCCTTTGGTTTGATTATTAGAATATTATACAATATACTGCACTGTTCTGGATGAGATCGAAGCATCACTGCAGATTTATCTTCTCGGCGTAATTCACAAACGTCTGTCTTCAGCATGCCAGTCTCTGACGTATCTTTACTCAAAGCATGCACTTGACTAATCAAACAGAATTACAGTAGGAAAATACTGACTTTAAGCAAAGACATGATTAACATGTTAACTTCTCAAGCTCTTTGGCACCTCTCTGAATTTGAGTTCCTCTCTAAATTTCTCCTCACTAGGTATAAGTGATGTCTGTAGTAACCCTGCCCTGGTAGGTAACGCTCATGAATTAATGTGACCCTCCTGTTGCGTTTGAATCCCTTCCCATCATTCCCCACACTGACCCCTAACACTTGTGCTTGTTTCCTTCTCTCTAACCATCGTGAGTTTCCATTAGCATCTGTATTGTTTCTGTATGTTGAAGCATCCGGTTTGCTACTAAATGAACATCGTATTAGTATTGTAATTTAACTGCAAATTTAAATAGAGTATTTAAGAAATAAAGAAATGTAATATTTTTAAACCATAAAGCTACAGTGCTAATATTTATGGCGGTCTTAATTTCTTTGTTTTTAACACGGCACTCTGGAAAAAGTACATTTAATCTCTTCGCATATTGCAATTTCGGTTTTAGTTCAGTTCATCGTGCAGCTCTACCTCCTTGGTTTGATTATTAGAATATTATACAATATACTGCACTGTTCTGGATGAGATCGAAGCATCACTGCAGATTTATCTTCTCGGCGTAATTCACAAACGTCTGTCTTCAGCATGCCAGTCTCTGACGTATCTTTACTCAAAGCATGCACTTGACTAATCAAACAGAATTACAGTAGGAAAATACTGACTTTAAGCAAAGACATGATTAACATGTTAACTTCTCAAGCTCTTTGGCACCTCTCTGAATTTGAGTTCCTCTCTAAATTTCTCCTCACTAGGTATAAGTGATGTCTGTAGTAACCCTGCCCTGGTAGGTAACGCTCATGAATTAATGTGACCCTCCTGTTGCGTTTGAATCCCTTCCCATCATTCCCCACACTGACCCCTAACACTTGTGCTTGTTTCCTTCTCTCTAACCATCGTGAGTTTCCATTAGCATCTGTATTGTTTCTGTATGTTGAAGCATCCGGTTTGCTCTCCAAATGAAACCCTGGCTAGACTTGTTCCCCGCTGGGGTCTTTTCACGCTGAGAGTGAAAGGACCGGCTGCGCTCGTTCTGTCATGCCATTGGTGGAAACCAGTGTCACTCATTGCTGTGCCATCCCTAGGGCCCTATGAATCGGTTTCATTTTTTTCCCCCCAAATTCATGTTTTAGTATTTCTGCATTCTGTTTAATGGTTAAATTGTTTTATTAATATATACAATGTCTAGTTATAATGAAATGGATACAACTGAACTTAAGTTTAAGAAATTACATTAGCCTATTAAATCCTTTTTTATTTTTTGCCCCCAATTTTTTTTTTTCAGTTTTATTCTCTCTGGATTCTGTTTTAATAGTTAAATTCTATTTTATTAATCAAAAATCATCTATTTAATCAAGAAGTTTTCCTCAGTTTCTTAAGTTTGACAAATTACGTTCAAGGCCTTATGAAATCCAGTTTCCCCCCCCTCAAATTGTTTAATTTATTTTGTAATTAAAAAGCATGTCCAATTATTTGATAACATTAAACTTATGCAATTTGACAGTTATATTAAGTTTAACAAATATTTTTGGGCATTATGAAATCCATTTTTATTATCCCCGATTTATTTGATCTATGCCTTATTCCAATTTTCAATTAAATTTTTTTTAGTACTTAAGTCTAATTAATCCTGAAATTGATACAATTGAACAACAATATATTATATTTTAACTAATTATATTTTAGGGTCTTATGAAACCCTTTTTTACTATCCCTGATTTATTTTTTATTTATATTTAAATATTTCTAGATGGATTTTCCCCTGTTTCGATTCATTAACATTTTAATGGTATCTGTATTAATGGTTAAACTAAATAGTAATTAATTACATTTTTATATTAATTAAAGCCTAATTAATCATTATTTCTTCTTTTATTTGATCTCAAATTAAATTCATCTTTTTTCTTAAATATTTTTTTATTTACAGTAATTTAATGTTTAATCTCTTCAGAAATTATTTAGAGATCTGGTTTTAATATTTTATAAAACATTAACAGTTAAAAGTAATCAAATGAGAATTTAAGTTTAGGGTTTATGGGGTGAATGGATGATTCCTGAAGTTTTAATAATTTAATAACTTTGAAAAGTGCTGGTCAAAAGTTGTGCAGACCCTTTTTGTGTGTATGTGATTATCAAACAAAATGATAAAATGCTCATGAAGTTACTCTGTAAATTCCACTTATGACTAAATTCCGCAGTTTCTCCCATCACAGAAATCATAGGGCCCTAAGGCCCCTAATTTGTTGCCGTGTGATTTGATTGGCTGAAACGCTTATGGACCCCAAGCCTGAGCTGTTTTCACAATGGAAATGCATTTTGTGTGCAAAACGCGTAACTCTTCCTCGCTCCGTTGGTTTGTTTCACAGAAGGATGCCAACCCTCCAGAGGAGTGCAAACAGCAGTGATGGCGGCGCCACCTCCTTCAGGATCCCCTACACTGTAACGGCTTCAAACAAACATAGTTACTTAACGCCTTACAATGTTTTGTATTTTTCTTGGTAGGAATAATTGAAAAATTAAATAAAAGGGTTTCGAGATTTTTGTTACAAAAAAAGAAAAAGGAAAAACCACCACACACCTCCTCTATCGGGAGCCGCGGCTCATGACGCATAGTATTTTACTAGATCGGTTTCTTTCGTTTTCCTCTGTATAAATAGATAGAATGCAGAAAATCCCTCGAAGCATGACACTTGTTTCTTCACCGCTAAACTAGTTGGGTTCTCGTAAAGTCTTTTGTATTGCTCTTAGACAACAGCTGTGGAAAGACGGTCCGGTTTACAGGAGAAGCGTCCGGAGAGATTCATTCGGTTAACATTCCACGAAAACGTTGGCTGTTTTAGGTTGAGAGGATGTTTAAAGCTCGGTGGAGACTGATGCATATTCCCCATCCGTTTAGTCGGCGCTCTGCTGCATGACTCCTTTCTTTTCTATGAGCACTTTGTGTTTTCGCCATGTATCCGTAGTGTTTATTTTTTCCGTCGATTCGACCAATGCTCAACTTTTAACTGGCTTGGCGTTCTTCAGGTGGGTTCTTTGCTCCACGGAATGCACTTACAATGATCCGAGCGACCTCATTGGAGGATTAGACTTTTGAATGAGAGAACCTAATTGGAGGAGCCAGTTTAGCTATGAATCGGTTTCATTTTTTTCCCCCCAAATTCATGTTTTAGTATTTCTGCATTCTGTTTAATGGTTAAATTGTTTTATTAATATATACAATGTCTAGTTATAATGAAATGGATACAACTGAACTTAAGTTTAAGAAATTACATTAGCCTATTAAATCCTTTTTTATTTTTTGCCCCCAATTTTTTTTTTTCAGTTTTATTCTCTCTGGATTCTGTTTTAATAGTTAAATTCTATTTTATTAATCAAAAATCATCTATTTAATCAAGAAGTTTTCCTCAGTTTCTTAAGTTTGACAAATTACGTTCAAGGCCTTATGAAATCCAGTTTCCCCCCCCTCAAATTGTTTAATTTATTTTGTAATTAAAAAGCATGTCCAATTATTTGATAACATTAAACTTATGCAATTTGACAGTTATATTAAGTTTAACAAATATTTTTGGGCATTATGAAATCCATTTTTATTATCCCCGATTTATTTGATCTATGCCTTATTCCAATTTTCAATTAAATTTTTTTTAGTACTTAAGTCTAATAAAGTCTTTTGTATTGCTCTTAGACAACAGCTGTGGAAAGACGGTCCGGTTTACAGGAGAAGCGTCCGGAGAGATTCATTCGGTTAACATTCCACGAAAACGTTGGCTGTTTTAGGTTGAGAGGATGTTTAAAGCTCGGTGGAGACTGATGCATATTCCACATCCGTTTAGTCGGCGCTCTGCTGCATGACTCCTTTCTTTTCTATGAGCACTTTGTGTTTTCGTCATGTATCCGTAGTGTTTATTTTTTCCGTCGATTCGACCAATGCTCAACTTTTAACTGGCTTGGCGTTCTTCAGGTGGGTTCTTTGCTCCACGGAATGCACTTACAATGATCCGAGCGACCTCATTGGAGGATTAGACTTTTGAATGAGAGAACCTAATTGGAGGAGCCAGTTTAGCTAGTCTCTGATTGGCTGGTTTCTGAGCTCTGCCCTGAGTGATGTTTGTGGTGAAACACCACCTCTGTTTGGCAGGCCTATCACTGTGAATGTGTGTGTGTGTGTGTGTTCAGAGGAAGGTAGTCTTCGTCTCCTCTCACTCGTAGCGCAGCCCAGCAGGTCTGAAGCAGATAGAGCAATATTTTCACCCGGAAAGCCCCACCGCCGCAGTATCCCGTGTCTCGTGGCCCGGCTCAGTCCGGATCACCGGTCAGTCGGTTAGTTAGTTGTCTGGTGAGCGGTTGAAGCAGCAGGGGTCTTTCTGGTTCCCCTCAGCAGCTGTTGTCAAAGCAAAATGCCATGCTACAAAATACTAATGTACTCAATAACTGTACGTGGATGTATATTCATGAAAAATAAATTGGTAAAACGTGCAAGCCTTGGTCTGTCTTCTGTTCATGTGTAAAGCTTATTAGTTTAACCAAAACATTAAGGCTGTAATTTAAGCACCAGTTTTATGATGGTTTGTGTCAGTAGGTGAATATTTGTAATCATTCAATGGCTCCACCAGGCGGCAGCATTGAGTTCAAATGGCCTGAATTAAATTTGAGCACTCATGGTCAATTTTGACCTCATTTTATAATAAAGATGTAATGGGTCTGTTACTTATTTCAAAAGATGGAGTTAAAAGATTAAATGAGTGATTTATATAGCATTAATGTTGCTAAAAATACTAAATTATCATCTTGGTTTACATAATGGAAGAGAAAAAAATATATTGCGCACGTCCATAGTGGTTTATTAATTATTTATTTTTGGCTTGTTGACTCAATGCAATATTTATTTTAAATCAAACGTTACAAAAGTATTAAATTTGGATGGTTTTACATCAAGTCTTGTTAAAATTAGATGGATTT